GATGTAAGTTTCAACAACATACTTCAATAAGTGCCAATTGATTGGTTTTGACAAAAACAAGGATGAACTAGGGATAAACTACACAGTCTCTTGATAAAGATATTTTTTTTTTCTAAATAGTATCAATCAAATAGAGAGCTAACAAGTTCTATTCCTTAATTTTTGGGTACTTATTGGGAAGCAGAAAAATTACAAAGTAGGGTAAGGGAAAAATCACAAAGTGGGCGCAGTCCCCATTATTTTAGAGTATAATATTAACCATTCATCACTCTTTTACTTTGTAGGTAGTCAGCTTATTGTGATGCCATCTAACCTTGAGGTAAAACTAAACACCAGACTTAAAGTTTAAGCATACTAGCAAATTAAAGCAGAAGAGACAAAAAAGCAGAGGAATAGAAAGTAGTACAAAAATAAACTGGAAGTGACCTAATGTTTCTTTTGTTTCTTACCATTTACAGTATAGCCCTACTTCTTTTCTGGATGACAACAATTTACTACAGTAATGGGTAACATGTAGAATGAACTGAGTCTGTGTATATGAAGCTGCAGCATAGCAAGGAAAGCTTTGGGAATGGATCTACATGAGCATCCAGCATGGCTGGCGCGGTTGGCTCACACTGTAATCCCAGCTCTCTGGGGGGGGCCAAGGCGGGTGGATCACTCAAGGTCAGGAGTTCAAAACCAGCCTGAACAAGAGCGAGACCTGTCTCTACTATAAATAAAGAAATTAACTAGCCAACTAAAAATACATAGAAAAAATTAGCCGGGCATGGGTGCGCATGCCTGTAGTTCCAGCTACTTGGGGAGGCTGAGGCAGAGATTACTTGAGCCCAGAAGTTTGAGGTTGCTGTGAGCTAGGCTGATGCCATGTCACTCTAGCCTGGGTGACAGAGCAAGACTGTCTAAAAAAGAAAAAAGGAAAAAAAAAAGCATGTGTTACATTTAACATGGTTTTCTACTCATTGTGACAATATATATAACTCTTTTAATGGTAAGAGAAAAAATATATCTGATATGTAAAAGTATCCAGGAAGAAAGCATCTAGTAGCAATAATGTTGGGAATAAAGAAGAAAAATAAGCAGTCCAAGAAAGTTTTAAAGAGTAGAATGCTGAATTTCAGGTATCTCAGATTTGATGTGGAAAATTGCTTAGTATACCCAAGAAAAAACATGTATTCATGGAACTTTTTCCAGGGAATACCTCAGCCAGAAAAAGCTGTTTATCACATAAAAAAAATACAAACCTTTGGTCAACGTTTAAAAGATGGTCAACATTCAATGAGGCATGTAATCTGGGAGAAAACCACAGCACATGTACAACATTATCGGTATATAAGAACTGGGGAATTAGCAAAGGTTTTAATGTAAACCATATTACCTTTAAAGAAACACAGTACAAAACATACCACCAGATGCATTGCTAATGGCTGATCCTGCAGATGCCACCTTGGAAACTGCTCTGGATTATATGTCCAAGAAGTTCCACAAACTTCCACCTTTAAATCACTGTCTGAATATATCTGTTGTACTCGGCCAATTACCTAAAGTCTTGAAAAAAAAGTTAAATTCATGTTTCCAAGTCTAAGATATACCATAAAATCAATTACTTGTTTTTAGTATGTTTAAAGTATTAATTCTACTTGTTTTAAAAATAACCTTTTCAGGCTGGCATGGTGACTCATGCCTGTAATCCTAGCACTCTCAGAGGCCAAGGCAGGAGGATCCTTGAGCTCAGGAGTTCGATACCAGCCTGAGCAAGAGCAAGATCCCACTTCTACCAAAAAAAAAAATATATTATATAATATATGTATAACACACCACACACCACACGGGTCTCGCTCAGGCTGGTTTTGAACTCCTGACCTTGAGCAATCCGCCCGCCTCGGCCTCCCAGAGTGCTAGGATTACAAGCGTGAGCCACCGCGCCCGGCCTGGCCAATTAATTTCTTTCTATTTTTAGTAGAGATGGGGTCTCGCTCTTACTCAGGTTGGTTTCGAACTCCTGACCTCGAGCAATCCGCCCGCCTCGGCCTCCCAGAGAGGTAGGATTACAGGTGTGAGCCACCGCGCCCGGCCTCCCAGTGTATGTTTTTGTCTGCTTTGTCGAAGATTAGTTGACTATATGAGGATGGTTTTATATCTGGGTTCTCTGTTCTGTTCCACTGGTCAGTGTCCCTGTTCTTATGCCAGTAACAAGCTGTTTTAATGACTATGGTCTTGTAGTATAGTTTGAAGTCTGGTAAATTGATACCTCCAATTTTGTTTTTATTGCCTAGGATTGATTTTGCTATACAAGGTCTTCTCTGGTTCCATGTGAAGTGTAAAATTATTTTTTCTATATCTGTGAAAAATGATAATGGTATTTTAATAGGGATTGCATTGACTCTATAGGTCACTTTGGGTAGTATAGACATTTTAACAATATTGATTCTGCTAACCCATGAGCATGGTATATTCTTCCACCCATTTACGTCCTCTGCTATTTCCTTCTTCAGTGTTTCATAGTTCTCCCTGTAGCGGTCTTTTACCTCCTTAGTTAAATATATTCCTAGGTACTTTATTTTCTTTGTTGCTATTTTGTAAGGAATTGAGTCTTTTATTTGGTTCTCACTCTGACTGTTGTTAGTGTATATGAATGCCTCTGATTTCTGTGTATTGATTTTGTATCCTGAGAATTTACCAAATTCATTTATCAGTTGAAAGAGCCTCTTGCTTGAATCCTTCAGATTTTCTAGGTATAATATTATGTCATCAGCAAACAGTGAGAGTTTGATCTCTTCTCCCATTTGGACACCCTTAATTCCACTCTCTTGTCTGATTGCTGAAGCAAGGACTTTCCATACTATGTTGAATAGTAGTGGAGATAGTGGGCAACCTTGTCTCGTTCCAGTTCTAAGTGGGAATGCTTTCAGTTTTAACCCATTCAGTATGATACCGGCTATGGGTTTGTCATATATGGCTTGTATCATTTTTGGGTAAGCCCCATCTATGCCTATTTTGTTGAGCGTTCTTATCATAAAGGGGTGTTGAATTTTTTCAAATGCTTTTTCTGCGTCTATTGAGAGGATCATATGGTCTTTGTTTTTGCTTCTGTTTATATGGTGAATTCCATTTATAGATTTGCGTATGTTGAACCATCCCTGCATCCCTGGGATGAAGCCCACTTGATTGTGATGGATTATTTTCTTGACAAGCACCTGGATTCGATTGGCTAGAATTTTGTTGAGAATTTTTGCATCTATATTCATAAGGGATATTAGTCTGTAGTTTTATTTTTTTGTTGCATCCTTTCCTGGTTTTGGTATCAGAGTTATGTTCGCTTCATAAAACTTGTTGGGGAGGATTCCATCCTTTTCGACATTGTGGAATAATTTCTGCACGATAGGCACCACTTCATCTTTGTAGGTATGGTAAA